AAGACTCCACAGATCAGAAGGGGCATTGGTCATTACCCCCTCCAGCCCACTCAGTGATTCTGACTAAGAATCCCTAGAGGAAGAGTCCAGGTCAATGTCTGAGGAGGACCAGAGGGACCAGGAAAAACTCGGCACAGCAGAGCCACCTGCAGATGATGCCTCATAAGAGTCAGAGGCTGTCTTGCCACACAGCCTGCAAGGGAAGCCTCTCCACCAGCCCCAGAGATAATTTCCGGACCTCTGCCATGCAGGACTCAGTCTGGTCCTGTTGTCACTCCCCCAGGACCCTCTTCCAGTCCACAGGAACGCTGGCGGCAGAAGGCCCAAGCTGAAGTAGAACAAAGAAGGTGAAGTGCCAGGCTGGCAGCACACAACACCAGGGCAGAGCTGTGCACTGAGGGTGAGTCCTTGCAGGATCCTGGCCGATGTGCAGAGCTGCCTAAGGAACTCCAGCACCTGTTGGCAATACAGCTGGACTCAGTTACCATCCCAGCCTACTTAAGCTGGGGTCTGTAAAAACAACTTTGATGGATCAACCAGTTTGCAAGGCTACAGCTCTTGTCTGCTAGATCTTGACTACTCCAGTCCTTGCCTGCTCCCATAAGCCAGGCCCTGGTCAGTAACCACCTGCAGGGTAAGTCCTGAGCACTGTTCCCTCTAAGCTGAGTTAGTATGAGCCAGCTCACAGTTTTTTAGCCTCCGGCTCACACATTTTTGTCTTCACTCAGGAAGGATGGCTCCAGAACAAACTAATTTATGCAGCAGCCAAATCACTCGCTCACAACTTTAATGCCAGTAGCTTACAAAGTAGAATTTTTGCTCACAAGACTCCACAGCTTAGAGGGAACATTGGTCCTGAGTCTTGGTGAGACCAGGGGTCAGAACAACACCCCTCTTCTATTTAGCCAGTTTATAATTCACCTGCACTCCTCTGAGTGCAGCTATCGTGCATTAAGAAAGCAAGGAATGTAATGTGCATTTGTCAACCAGGTATATATTCAGAATATCTAAGATTAAATGCACACATACCTCCATAGCCACATAATGTGGATATCATATTATACTTAATATAATGTAAATAGATAAAACATTTTTGGTGGGGTTCAGAATTCGAGTGATGTATTGTCACTAGGAGGAAGAGTATGTGCATTACTATTTATTATTTTTATATGTTGTTTCTCACAGGAATTCAAGATATATTACACACAGTGAATCAGGACAATCAACAAAATTGGTCATTCAAGAACCAGTGCATTAGGATTGTAGAAGTCTGGAACTACAAGAAAAAGCTGAAGCATAGCATAAGTATTAACATGACACATTAAGCGGTATAAAAATGACATAATAGGCGCCTACTTACGATAAGATACACATACCAGTACAGACCACAGACTCTAAGCCTTTATGCAAGTAAATTTGTGAACCATTCTATACAGTGTAACCCTATTTACCAGCTTTGCAGTTTGTGGAAAGCCAGGAGAAAAGAATCCCATCCTCCATTTTTTTTAGAGTCAAGTTTCTAGCTCTCATGAGCCAGTTTGGTGTAGTGGTTAAGAGCGGCAGACTGTAATGTGGAGAAACGGGTTTGATTCCCCACCAACGCTTCCTCTAAGCTGCGGAGTCTTCTGAGCAAAAATTCTCCTTTGTGAGCGACCGGCATTAAAGCTGTGAGTGGGCAATTTGGCTGCTGCGTAAATCAGTTTGCTCTAGAGCCACCCTTCCTGAGCTAAGACGAAAAACATGTGAGCCGGTGGCTAAAAAACTGCGAGCTAGGTCACACTAACTCAGCTTAGAGGGAATACCCACTCCTCCACTTGAAGCCAGCTGGGTGACTTTGGGTAAGTCACAGTTCTCTCAGAGCTCTCTCAGCCCCACCTACCTCACAGGGTGTCTGTTGTGGGGAGAGGAAGAGAAGGAGATTGTAAATTGCTCTGAGTGAAGGGTGAGGAATAAATCCAAACCTCCTTCTTCTTCAATAGTTCATAGACCTTAGAAAATATATATTTTTGCCCTTGATAAAATTTTGACGTCCATGAGGCCTCTCAGAGAACTGCCTCTAGAGAATTTCTTCAGTAAATACCTGGACATATTCAAACAAGGTAAGCAGACCATTACTGCAGCTTACAATCATATCAAAATTAATCATCTTGCCATTTACTCATTATGCATTTTAATAATGTGTGTTATTGTGCTATATTGGTTTTACAGTTCATTTTATTTTATTCTATATCACTATCAGCACGCTTTTAAAAAAGTGGAGAATAACATTTCATTGCCTTTAAGTTGCCACAATATACTTTTTGTTTGTGTGTTTACTGGAACAGGTGCCTCTGAAAACTAAGAGTCTTGTGTTTGCTTCTTCAGCACAAATGTAGCCATTGGGGAGGCGCATGGGGCTCTGCCCTCTTTCAATTTTGCAGTGCCCCACCTGGCGTGATCTGGTCCATGGGGTTGCAAAGAGTCGGACTTGACTGTGCGACTGAACAACAACCCCAGCAGCAGTGGGTGCACCTTTCAGGCACTGGAATGTGCGCCCGAAGGTGCTGCAACGCTCCCAGCTCACTCAGCCGCTGTATACCCGGGCACCTGTTGCTCTCTTTCCCCGCCCGCCTGCTTACCCAGGTCCTCTTCCGGGGCAAGGAGTCAGATGAGAGGGAGAGCCAAGCACTGGAGGTCACCACAGCTTCTTCTCCTGCTTCTGGGGCTGCCAGTGCAAACATATGGAGAGCAGAGAAGGACATGGGGTCAAGGTGGGGCAGAAGAGTGGAGAGAAGGCAGGTGAAGGAGATTCCCAAACGCCAAGCACTGCTGGTCAGGGCTCCATGTAAAGTAATTAAGTTAATTAGCACCCCCTGGTGCTCCCTTCCTAAAACATTCCCAGCTACAGGGCTGAGCACAAGCATTTGTGCTTTCATTACTAGAGGTTAGTTGTGCCAGTCATTTTAGTAAAAATAAACAGGCATTACAGGTCTGTCAATTGCTAAATAGCCACAGTGACTAAAGGAAATTCCACATCCAGTAGACCTTTGAATACCAGCGCAGTGAGGCAACATGAGGGGACTGTATTGGTCTCTATGACCACCAGAGCACCTAGCCACTTAGTCAACTAAGGTACTGGACTAGATCGGCCAACAGAGTGCAGATGCACCCTCTAAGCAACAGTGCCAGGAAGGCAACCTGGTTAAACACTGTATGAAACAAGATGCTGGGGTTGATGCAGCATGAGTGCAGTCCAGCTGGGCTCTTCTCATGTCCCTGTGGGACCTAGGGTTGCTATCCTCCACGCAAGAGCTGGAGTTCCCCAGGAATTACAGTGGATGTCCTCTCCCTTGGAGGAAATGACAGCTTCGGAGGGCAAACTCTATGGCAGGGTTTCCCAGCCTTTTTGAGTCTAAGGGCTCCTTTGGAATTCTGACACAGGGTGGTGGGTGCGGTCACAAAATGGCCACAGCAGGAGTCACACCAAGACACACAAACGGCTGCTGCAGTTTACCTTCAATCATACAGTGAAGACTGTTGTGATGTGCTGTCAAAGTTTTCAAAAATCAGCACAGCCAATCAGAAGCCTTGCTGGGCAAAAGTCCCAGCTGACCCCACCCACTTTCTAAAAACACTTGATGGGCACCACCATGCTAAGGACCCCTGCTCTATGGTAACAGATTCTAGATGAAATCCCTCTCCATTTAGGATTCTGAGCTCTGGGCTAGGAAATACCTTGTGATTTTTGGGGGGTGGAGCCTGGAGAGGGACCTCAGAATGGTACAATGCCATAGAGTCCACACTCTGACGCGGCCCTTTTCTCCAGTGGAGCAGATCTTTATAGTCTGGAGATCAGTTGTCAAAGCAGATTTTCAGACCCCATCAGGGGTCTGGCAACCCTATACCCCCATAGGCACCTTTCCCCTAATCTCCAGGAATGTCTCAGACCAGAGTGGGTAACCATTAGGGTCACCAACCTCCAGGTGGTGGCTGGAGATTGGCTACTACAACTGATCTCCAGGTGACAGAATTCAATCCACCTGGAGAAAATGGTTGCTTTGGAACTTGCACTCTATGGCTACAGTCACACAATACAGTGTTCCCTCTAAGCTGAGTTAGTGTGAGCTAGCTCACAGGTTTTTTAGTCACCAGCTCACACATTTTTGTCTTGGCTCAGGAAGGATGGTTTCCAGAGCAAACTAATGTATGCAGTAAGCAAATCGCTGCCTCACAACTTTAATGCCAGTAGCTCCCAAAGTAGAATTTTTGCTCACAAGACTCCACAGCTTAGAGGGAGCATCCACTTCCAATGCACTTTTCCGACTGGATTTTAATGTGTGATAGCGTTGCCAGCCTCCATGGAGTAGCTAGAGATCTCCTTACAACTGATCCCCAGGTGACAGAGGCCTGGAGAAAATGCCCACTTTGAAAGGTGGGTTCTACAGTATTATACACTCCCTGAAGTCCCTCCCCTCCCCTCCCCAAACCCCGCCCTCCTCAGGCTCCGCCCCTCCCCCAAACCCCCAGGTATTTCCCAACCCGGAGCCTGCGACCCTAGCGACCGTTAGGCACCTGAGGGACTAACCATTTTCCCTTCCGCCCTACGCTTGCCTGGGCAGGGTTTTCTC